TTCATTTCCAAATTTCTAATTCAATGAACTTCYMTCCTCTCCCCTCCCAATTGTGTGTTAGCATCCATATTTCAGAGAGAGCATATGCCCTTTGGTTTGGGGACTGGCTTATTTCACTTAGCATGAGAGTCTCCAGATCCATCCATTTACCAGCAAAAGTCATAAAGTTATTATTTTTAATGACTGAGTAATATTCCACTGTGTATGTATACCACATTTTCTTTATCCACTCATCTGTTAAAGGGCACTTAGGTTGGTTCTGTAGCTTAGCTATTGTGAATTGAGCTGCTATAAACATTGATGTGGCTGTGTCCTATAGTAGGCTGATTTTAAGCCCTTTGGGTATACACAGAGAAGTGAGATAGCTGGGTCAAATGGTGGTTCCATTCCAAGTTTTCTGAGGACTCTCCACACTGCTGTCCAGAGTGGCTGCACCAATCTGCAGTCCCACCAGCAAGGTATGAGGGTACCTTTTCCCCACATCCTCACCAGCATGTTTTGTTGCTTGTGTTCTTGATGGTTGCCATTCTGACTGGAGTGAGCCAGCATCATTGTAATTTGCATCATTGTAATTTGCATTTCTCTAGTGGCTTGGATGTTGGGCATTTTCACTGAATTTGATCATTCACGTATTGTGAGAGTGTATTGTGACCATGACCATCATGGTCCTTGACAGTGATGGTGATAAAAATGTGAGCTGCTGACCATTTCTTCACTCAACAAAAAACTGTGAGCACTTTTCCGGGCTCAGCTCTGCCCTGGGTGATGGGGCTCAGTGGGAGGGACAGGTCCATGCCGGGCGGAGCTYGCCACCCACAGCAGAGCAGACCCAAGGCAGCCAAATACAGAAAGAAGTGCAATGATCAGACGGCACCAAGGAGGAAAGAGAACGGGGATCTGCTAGAGAGGGGGACCGGGCACCTTAGCCTGGCCTCTCTGCAGAGTGGGGGAGGGACAAAGGTGACCAGGCTGTGACCTGCGGGGGGTGGTTGCCCCAGGTGAATAAGGGCTAAGCCCTAAGGTGGGGGGTGTCTCCTTTAACTCCCTGGTAACCCCAGGAGCTGCAAACTCTGATCGGATCCACTGTGCAGATGAGAAAACTGAGGCTTGGGGAGTTGAATGAGCTCATCAGAGGTCTCCAGCTGATGCAGAGAGTAGACTGGGATTCGAGCTCAGAACGCGTGACTCCTGAGCCCACCTGCTCCTGTCACGGCGATCAGAGGCCCTTAGAGTCAGGGTCACACTGGGATAACCCCAGGAGGGCTTGGTCCTCCCTGAGACCGTCTCTTTGGACAGACCTGCAGGGGCCACTCCCCCCAGGATGATTCCCCCAGATCTGGTCCTCTCCTCCTGCCGGCTGGCCGGGGTGCCCGCGGGAAGTCGTTTCTACAGTTACCACCAACTATTTTATTTTTTAAAAGACTTTTATTGAGATATAACTTACTGCTGTGCGGTGCATTCACCGTAGACACACCGAGAAGGGAGCGTAACCTGTGAGGACTCCCATGTGACCACTTGCAGGTCAAGGAACACCCCTCTCCCACACCTGGGGCAGTTCGAAGGTTGAGTTCCTGCCCCAAACATCACGTCTCTGCCCTGAAGTGACTGTCGCCAAGACCTGCCTCCCTCCAGCCAGGATTCTGCCGAGGCTCCYGAGGGGCCCGCAGAGCCTGGGCAGAGGTCCTCCAGGACAGACGGGGGGCCTGGGGGACAAACTCAGAAGTGAAGGGGGCGGCCTGGCGAATGCCGACCACATGCAGGAGCATTTGCACTCACTTAGCGCACAGCGGCCAGAGAGGCAGGAGGTCCCCAGGTGAGCTGCACCCCCACTTCGTTTCAGTCTGTGAGCCCGAGAGGGGGAAGGCAGGGCAGGATGTGTCTCTTCCAAACTCCAAAACCCTAAGCCCCCCCCCAGGCTGCCCACAAGTGACAAGCCCACCCGACACGGCTTCCCTCCCTCCAGGACAAAGCAATCCCTCAGACCCCCTCACTGGGGCCTCCTCAAAACCCGACACCAGAGAGGGAGCGCACCCTGCCMTCCTCCCTCCGGAGAGGACAGTTTGTGTCTGCAGGTTGCTGGGGAAACAGAGTTTTTGAGACCAGCAGGGCTGGGACCCCAGCTTGATCACTTAGTAGCTGTGTGGCCTCAGGCAGGTCACTTCACCTCTCTGAACCGCAACTTCTCCATCTGTATGTGGAGAGAGCTACAGCTCCTACCACAGAGGTTGCTGCAAGGACTCAATGAAATAATGACACTCAAGTGGCYGCCCGCACTTGAACATGCCCGATGACATTAGTTCCAGCCACCAGGTCGTCCTTGTCAGTCACTGGACCATGCACAGGCCYGAGCTGCTGGCTGCTGGCTCCCCACCTTCCCTTGGACCAGGAATCCAGGCAGCCACATCCTCCGGAGGGAGGCACTTCTAGAAGATTCCCCCCAGACAGAGCCCAAGTGATGGCCAAGGCTAAACCCTGGTCCCCGCAGCTGGACATTTTGTCTGCACAGACCCCCGCGCCACCCCCGCCACCACCCCCTGAATCGCAGCATGAACAGGCCTCCCCGCCCCGAGGTGAACCTGTGTGTTATTTATGGGATTCATTATGTGCTCGGCCCCCGAGGATCGTGATTGTGCACCGGGAGTGGATTTGAATCATGTTTACTATTAATTCATGTCAATAAAGCAAAGAGACAGGGGCTCAGCCTGGCTTCCCACTCACCGCTCCCCTGAGAGGGCCCGGGCGGCTCTTCACTGTCTCCCCAGTAGTCCCCCTCCAGGGCTCCACCTCCCTCCCCCAGTCCAGGGACTGTCCCTGCTCAGCTGGGACACCTCACTGCCTGCTTCCTCTCTGCCGGGCTCCACTGGGTCCCTGCACAGCAGCCAGGGCCSTGGACACGGGGTGCAGACCCGAGCAGGCCTGGCCCCTGGCTCTCAGGGCAAAGGCCTCCCCCRGTCTGTCCAGCCTCCGCCCTGTTCCTGCACGGAGTCCCCACTCCCCTGTGACCGCTGTGTTGATCTCCCAGATCAACAGGACTGGCCCCCTGTCCCCTCCCCAGAGCGTCCCCTCCAGGGCCTCCCCCCAAGCCAGTACCCACCAAGGTAACTCAAGCATGTCCCCCAGGGAGCGTCCTTGCCTCCTAATGGGGTCAGGTCCCTCTAGAATAAGTGTGTGGCCTTCACTGGGGGTCTTCTCCACCGGGATGGGCGGGTTGGGTGGGTTTTAATGGTCAGCTGTCTGTCCCGCTCTCCAGAGGACAGAGACGGTGTGGCTTGGTTATCCTGTGTCCCCAGGCAGAGCAGGTGTTAAATGCGCTGTAGTGGAGACTGGGCGAGTGGGTGGATAATAGGTGCTCATGTAACAGGTGGGTGGGTGGGCGGTGGGGAGATGAGTGGGTGGATGGTGGGTGGATGGTGGGTGTTGGGGGGATGGGGGAGTGTTGGGGGACGGGCAGTGGGGAATGGGTCCCTGAGCTGGCCCCAGCAGTGCTCAAGAGCAAGACTTAGGAGCCAGGAGGCCTGGCCTTTCTCTCCCATCCGCCACGTCTTTGCTGTTAGACTGACCAAGTCGCCACCCCTTTGCTTGCTTGGTTGCTAGAAAAATGGAGGTGGGGGCCCAGACAGCAGCCCTGGCTCCGAGCCAGCTGCCCCCTTCCCAGCCCGTGTCCCCCAGGCAAGCGTGACCAGCTCCTAGCCTGCTTTCCACACCACCCACGGGGCCACGGTGGTCCTCCCCCAGCAGCCCAGTCACATGGTAGGTGACACATGGTAGGTGACATGTGGTCGGTGACACGTGGTAGGTGACACATGGTAGGTGACACGTGGTAGGTGACACGTGGTAGGTGCTCAGTAAACGCCAGAGCCCTCTCCATCATCGGTGTGCTCTGCTCCCCCCTCCCTCCCCCACCCTCAGGTACTGTCTTCTCTTCAGGTCTCCCTGCCATTGTCCCCATGTCCCCTCGACCCACCTGGCCCCGGAGGTAGCACTGAGACCATTGGGTCCCGGCCCAGAGGGAAGAAGCCAGGCCCTGGGCGTGTGGGTTCCCCGTGGAGTGTGACCCAGGAGCACGTCACCACCTGCAGGGATGACAAAAGACAGGAGGGGACGTCCCGGTCACACCGACATCCCTAACAGAAAACGTCAGTCGGAACAGGGACGCTGGTGTGGCACCCAGGAGAGAGCGGGGAGGACAGCTGGTCTGCATCCGTCCTGCTTGTCGGCGACCCCCGTGACCCTGGCCCCCCGCCTGGCYGGGCCTCCCCCGCAGCCCAGGGGAAGCACTGTCCCCATATAAGGCCCGGAGGCCTGAGTGGCAGAGGACTGCCTCTGTAAACCTGGGCGGGGACGGCAGGGGCGCTGGGCCGTCTTCAAAGCTCCATTTCCCGTCCAATGTGCGGGTCCCCATCCGTGAGGCCGTCAGGGCCCGGCTCGGATGGACTCAGAGCTCCCCCATCGAAAGCCTCCAGACCCGACAGGAAGGAACAGYCTGTCCCTTGATGAAGTGTGACTCCAAACAGCCCAAAGATGGGGAACGGGCCCCGCTCGAGGCCGACGTGACATCTGGAGGACAGGCTTCCCAGCCAAGGGACCTGGACGGTTCGGGGCCAAGAGGCCGCGGTCCAACAGGAGGCCGACGCCCGCCAGGCCCCCTGCTCTGCTCCCCGGAGGCCTCGGGGTGCGCTGAGGGTGGGGGCCCCGAGGGCGGGGTGCTGATGGGTGTCCAGGGAGCTGGAGGCCAAGTGCATTTTCTCTGCCGTTTTGGATCATTTTGAAAACGATTTGCAGAAGCTCCTGAAAGGGCCATCGAGATTTCCACATTGATCTGCTGGAAAAATCAGGTTACGCTCAAAACCTGACCTCTCTCCAGGCGCAGCGACACTCGCCTCCGATCCCAGGCTGAGGCAGGAGGAGTGCCAGGACGAGGCCAGCCTCCGCAACGTGGGGAGGCTCTGTCTCAAAATACAAAATGAAGCAAACAAACACACACACAAAAGGCCCTGGGGATGTAGCTCGGTGGTAAAGCGCCCCTGGGCTCAACCCCCAGCAGCACCCCCACCTCTCTAGCTCCTTCCTGCCTCTGCCGCCTTGTTCGAACCCAGCAAACTGAGGTTCCAATCCAGCCTCCAGCAAACTAGCTGGGTGACCCTGGGCAAGTCCCTTAACCTCTCTGAGCTGCAGATTCCTCATATGCAAAAGGGAAATCACCACTGTGCCTAGYTCAGGGCCACCGTGGGGAGTAAATATCTCATGGACGCTGAACATGGGCCACGTGATGGTCTGGAATCTCCTCAACAGACCAATTCTCCATACCAGAGGGGAGCCTCTGGAGGCAGAGCCTGGGGCAGATCGCATCTCTGCCACTGTGAGGCCGTGTGTGGTGCTGGGTGCCTGGCTTCCTTCCTCAGAGCCTCKGCTCTGTCATTTGTCAGTGGGACAATGTCACTTCCCGCCAAAGGAAGGAGAGAATAAGCCACACAAGGAGTGCACACACGGGAGCTGTTTGCCTTCGTCTCAGGTTCGTGGTTCGGGAAGGCAGCTTGCAGGCTGTCCTGCCAGGTAGCACCCAGGTCCCCACCGCCACCCCCACCCCTGGGCGGGCTGATGTGCCCCACCGTGGGGAGCTCTGGGGCCAGCTGCCGTGCCCACGCCTTGGTCAGTCTTTGCTCTGCCTTTCCACAGACCCCAGTCCCGGTTGCAGGCTCCCTGGTGTGGACCTTGCCAGAATCCACAAAGCCCTGCGGACCTCGTCTCCATCTTCTCAACTCCTCTCAAAGTCAAGTTCACGGTTAGAGGCATCTGTCACTCCAGTCAGTATCCTGTGCCTTTCCACAGGCCTCACCCGGAGGGACACTGCAGGGCCAGGATCTCGGGGGACGGAGCGTCAGCTGCTTCACGCTAGGTTCCCCCTGACCTCTCCTGCTCCCTCCAGGGACTTTGGAGAGGACCCGGGGTATTCCTGGGGTACCCAGTAGGCAGCTGAATACCACAGCCTTAGGCCAATCTCATTTCATGGGGGTGCTTTTGAGAATCCTTCCTTGGCTGCTCTGGGTGGGTCCAGGCTGCTCTCCCTTGAAGCTCAGGGTGCTGGTCCAAGGTCCATGTGAGACATGGCCTGCTCTGTCTCCCATGCCACTCAGAGACAGGGGTTCCCCACCCTGGATTCAAAACACGGTTCACCCCTACGCAAAATGCAGCGAGTATCCATCAAGGTGCAGTCAGGAGGTACCTGCCTTGGTCTTCAGAAGGTGCGTCCCCGGGGCACCCCTGGGCACCCCTGGGCTGGGAGTGACCGCTGCGGGTCTCCCAGGTGAGGCTCACAGCATGCTGGTCTCCCTCTCGTTCACCGAAGACTTGTCRTTCACTGACGACATCCGGGTGAAGCTCCTGTGGCTGGGGAAGGAGGAGTGGCCCGTGTCCTCACTCAGAGCGTTGACCAGGCGGGAGAAGAGCGTCACCTTGAACTTCTTGAAGTCCTGGCCCATGAAGACGTACAGAAGGGGGTTCATGCAGCTGTTGGCGATGGCGAGGGCYGTGGCCAGGGGCAGGCCCAGGCTGAAGACGGGGCCAGGCAGGACAGTGTGGTGTAGCTCCAGCAGGTAGAGAGTGTGGTAGGGACACCAGCAGCAGAAGAAGGTGACGATGATGGTGACGATGATCTTGAAGGGCTTCTTGGTCTTGGCCAGGCGGTGGCGCCGCAGCCTGCAGACGATGGTGAGGTAGCAGGCCGTGATGACGAGGACGGGGACCAGGAAGCCACACAGAAAGCGGGTGACGGTCACCAGCACGTGTGGGCTGGACCCRACCCGGCCGGCCGGGCCGGCGGCGGACAGGCTGAAGTTGTTGAAGCAGGAGGTCTTGCCGTGCAGGCTGGCGGTGTCCCGGAAGACGAGGGACGGGGAGCTCAGGCAGAAGGCCAGGACCCAGATGACCACGCAGGCCGCRTAGGCCAGCCGGACGCTGCGGTGGTTCTGGGACCAGACGGGGAGCAGCACGGAGACGCAGCGGTCCAGGCTGATGGCGGTGAGCAGGAAGACGCTGGTGTACATGTTGTGGATGAGCAGGAAGCTGCTGACCTTGCACATGGCCSTGCCGAACACCCAGTGGTAGTCCAGGGCGGCGTAGGTGATGTGCAGCGGCAGGAAGACGTTGAAGAGGAAGTCGGCCACGGCCAGGTTGAGGAACCACACGCTGTTCACCGTCCTCTTCATCTTGAAGGTGGCGATGACGATCACCAGGCCGTTGCCCAGGATGCCCAGGAGGCAGACGAGGCTGTAGATCACCACCACCAGGACCCGGGTCACCCTGGCCTCCGGGGGAGGGTGGTCGTCCAGCACCAACACGGGGCCCAGGTCATCCAGGTACTCGTCGTCGTAGGGGAGCGAGGAGTTGTACTCCCCGTCCTCCATCCTCTGCAAGGCAAGGCAGGTCATGAGGGGCAGCGGGCGACCGTGACCGCCCGAAGCTGACCCGCGCCAGCAAGACCAACCGCGCCCTGCCCCRCTCTGAGCAGACGCCCCTCCAGCAGTGGCCCAAGGCCAAAGAGCTGGGAAAAGACCAAGCTGCCATTGAAATCCGAGTGTCATCCCAGCGGCTGGGGAGGCTGAGGCAGGAGGATCAGAGTTCAAAGCCAGCCTCAGCAAAAGCGAGGCCCTAAGTGACTCAGGGAGACCCTGTCTCTAAATAAAATACCAAATAGGGCTGGGGAGGGGGCTCAGGGGTCGAGTGCCCCTGGGTTCGATCCTCAGCACCAAAAACTTCCAAGTCTCAGGTCTGTCCTGTTGACGATCATATCTCCTGCCTCTCTGGGATCCTCTCCTTCCCCACCGTTTAATGGGGAAGGAAATATTCACCCCAAAGCCCCTAGAATAATGGGGAAATTGCCCCCTAGGACAGCGAGGCATGGCGCCACGAACTTGGTTCCAGCCACACTTCCAAAACCCTGCTAGCAGCCACCCCCGTGCTCCCAGCCTGGCTGGGGACCTGAGCTCAGACCACAGGAGTCCCTCACCGTTCAGTGCTATGGTGTCCAACGGGGGTCCCCGGTCGGCCGGTTCCTGTGTCCAGCTGGAGACACCTGAGGGGAGAGGGAGGCGGCAGGTGGGTCTGGGTCTGAGGACAAGAGGATGCGCAAGTTCAGGGCCAGAATCAGGAGCCCCTGTGGCTGCTCGCAGCAGACACAGGAGGCCGCAGAAGTTTGGCGTCTGAGTGGTACTCAGCCAAGGTCACTCAGCCCGGAAGCGATCCAGGTGGGGTTTGAACCCTGCATGTGACCTTGCACGTGACCACTGCTTCCAAGACCTCCAGCACTTGCGAGCTCTTCAGAGGCTGGTCCRGGCACAGTGGCGCAGGCCTGTCATCCCAGCAGCTCAGGAGGCTGAGGCAGGAGGATCACAAGTTCAAGGCCAGCCTCAGCAACTTAGCAAGGCCCTAAGCAACTCAGCGAGACTCTATTTCTAAATAAAATTTTTAAAAAGGGCTGGGGATGGGGCTCAGTGGTTAAGCACCCTGGGTTCATCCCTGGTACCCACAAACAAAAAAGAAGAACTAAAGTTGTCGGGGGTGGGGGGTGTTTTGCTGGGACCTGACACACAGCAAGCCCTCAGTAAGGGAGGTGGCAGCCCCCGGGGTCACGGCCACCCAGGGCTGGAACCCTGGGCTCAGCCCCCCGCGCCCACACTCTCTCCTCTGCCCGGCTCTCCGGTCTTGACCAACCGGCTCCAAACCAAACGCCGGAGCCGGGCGAGGCTGCCCGTGGATACTTCATGATAAACACCTGCAGGCTCCTGTGCGTCAGTGTGTGGCTGGTCCTCATGGACCTGGGGTTCTACTTTATTACATGAAAGTYGTCCTTTGCTTTTATTAAACAAAAGCAGTTGGGAAATTCCACGCAGGACTCTGAGATCAAGGGGCTCGGGATTTGAGCTTCGGTGTCTCTCCACTCTGCAGGCTGGGGGGGCAGCCCCGGGTGTCCACTGAGTGTCCCCAAGGGCACTAGAATAAAGACAGGGACACTGCAGCGGGCCTCGCATGATTGGAGGACGCTGACGGGGGGGGGGTTGGTGACCCCTGGGGTGACATGCTGAGCTGGCAGGCGCCCGGGACTGGCAGAGCTCTCCATCCGGGTTGCTGTCACTCAAACCCCAGGAGGGGCTAAGTGAGGCTCCGGGAGGTGAAGGCCCGGGCAGAGGCTGGGAGAGACCCTGGGCCCTGAACCCGCAGGTCACGCTGCCCCTGAAATCGTGATCCATCCAAGTCAAAGGCTCCCACCAAGCAGGTCCCTGAGGAAGAAATGACCTTGTCCAGAGTCCCAGTGCTGGTTCTCCCAGGGACAAGGACAYGGCTTTGCCGGGGCCCTTCCCACGGGAGCTCACAGGTACAAGTGCCGGCCCAGGGCAGGTCTGCAGGGCCCCAGAAAGCCCTGCGGGGGGACAGCCACCAGCCTGGGAGTCCGAGGCTTCCTGGGGCAGGGGGCTTCTGAGTCGAGTTTTGAGGGACAAGTGGAGTAAGAGGGTAGAAGGGAGGGGCCGGCTGGGGCTGAGGGGTGGGGCGCTCACCTGGCCCATGTGGGGCCCTGGGTCCGTCCTCAGCACCACGTAAAACTCAATAAACAAACTCAGGGCGTCGCGTCCATCGACTGAAAATATGCTTTAAAATAAAAGAAGGCAGAAGGGAGGGAAGCAGGGCATGCCGGGCGCCTCCCACCCCACACTCCCCTCGTGGGGACAGGAGGGACATCCAGGACACCCAGCCTGGACACCAGCGGAGACCAGCCTGGTGGCTCTCAGCCTGGGCTGAGGGTGAAGCCAGATTTAAAGTTAGGTAGTCAGTGTAGTTAGGTGGGTCTAACATCGAGTGAAATCTAAAATGGAGGCCATGCTGAGAATGACTCAGGGAAAACAGGATAACTCATGGAATGTTTATGAAGTCCTGAAAAGGCCCTAGGCCAAAGTCCACCTCAAAGAAGTGTTAACCAACAGCCCCAACAGATTTGGAAATAGCCCATCCCAGAGAAGTGATAATCCCACCCCAAAGGTGATAATTAGGCCCACCTGTGTCCCACCCCTCGGGCCTTCCCACCTACATTCCATCACTGAAAGAACTATAAAAAGGGGAGACAACCGCACTTCCACGGATTCCACCTCTTGGGTCCCCTTCTTCCTCCGGGAGAAGTCTTTTCTGCTGTCCTTTAATAAACTTCTAATCTCTACTCTGACCTTGCCTCGGCGTGCTTCTTTGGTGTTATTCTTCAACATTGGGGAAGCAAGGACTCGTGTCACCAGTCAACAGCGGTAACAAGGGCACCKTGGAGCCAGAGGCCACGTCGTCCCATGTTTGGGTCCGGGTCAAGCAGGGCTGGCACAGAGGCCCCTGGGCACGTCTGTCTGTCCACCCCTCACCCCCGCTCCAGCAGGAGTCCAGTGGGTTCGCTTCCTCTGTGGGGACGTGCCCTTCCCCCGCTTCTCAGAATCCCCAGGCACCAAGGACCCCGTGAAGATGGCGATGCCCAGCCACGTCCTTCAGGTTCCCTCTGGATTACTTATGAGACGGGACGCAAGGCAAATGCCGCCTAAATACGCTGAATGGTTTGGGGACAGGAGGTGACATGTTCAGTGCAGATGCAATTGTCTTTCCAAAATATTTCCGATCCCGGATGCGGAATCCTTGGACAGGAGGGCCCCTTGCTGGTTATTATTACTAATTCCCCAGGCTTCTCCACGACCCCTTAAACCGTCTCTCCTCTGAGCGGAGAGGAGAAGGCCAGCTGGGAGGCCAGAGGACGGGGACCTTCCTGCCCTCCTGTCACGCCGGTTCCGAGTCCAAAGGCAGATCAGGGACAAGAGTAAGATGTTGCTTCTCAGAGCCGAGCCTCTCAGATGGAGGTAAAGGACCCCTCCCCCGAGTTGCTGGGAGCAACAGGCAATGACAATGACCCTTTGGACAAGTTTCCGTTGTAAAGAGCTGGCACATTTTAGTCACTTGTATCCCACCAAGCTTATGAAAGAAAAGAGTCTACGTGATTATATACACAGAATATGTGCGCACACGTGGTTAACAACTACTCGGGTGCTCACTCTATGCAGGACTCCTACCGTACTCCCAAATGGCCCTGCAGGGATGACTTCCAGTTCATAGATGAGGAAAGCGAGGTTCAGAGAGGTGAAGCCACTTGCCTGAGGTCACACAGCTGGGAGGTCTGCCTCCAGAATCTGACTTCTAGAGATTCCCAGGTGAAAAGGCTCAGATTTCCCCTGCCTCCCTGCAGGGTTAACAGCCCCCACATCCCACCTACTCTGAGCCCAAGCAGGACCCTCCRCACATTCCTGGGGCCCTCACAGGGATCTGAGCCACCTTCTCAGACTTCCCTCCTCTTTACCCCAAGTTCCACATGAGATGACACCTGCCCAGCTGTGTGATTCCTGGTCCATGGCGCTGCCATTTCTTCCTTCCTGGCCAAGGACAACATTGTGTCTCCCGAGACACTGAAACTGTTTCCTCTTTCTCCCTAACGCAAGACCCTGCGACGGATCCGCTGTTCCTTTTTTGATGTGGCTACAAGGAAGCTCAGAGTGGATTTTGCAGGCTAAAGGCAGCCGTTCCCTCACCGCTGCTGGCCTCCAGCCTCTGCCTGGGTTTGGCTGGGTCTCTGGTCTGCCCCGGATGAGGCTTTCTGTTGGTTTTAGTTCCTTGTGAGGCAGAGCTGGTGGGGTGCACACAAGAGCCCGGGCGTACTGAGGAYGCTCGGCTGCATGAGCTCATGCAACCCAGGGGTGACCCTGCTGTCGCTTCCGTTGAAGGGAAGCCCATGTCACAGGGTCAGCCAGGGACTGATGCACATCCAGGTTGCTCTGACCTCGACCTTAGCCCTTAACCACAGGGCTTTCTAGAAAGCCGAGCACATTTTCCTGAGCCTGTTCACATCCTTCCTGATGCTGCAGGGTCCCCGGCTCCACCCTCCGGGGACACTCTCAAGGAATGCACCCTCCCCAGATTTGGGGACAATCTGGCTGAGGTCTGGGACACAATTCCAGGGAGGGGAGTCACTGGCCAGCAGCCACATTATCCGTCACAGCCAGGCTGACAGCAGAGCCACCGTCAGTGACCATTTGGCGGAGCAGCCTTGGGAGGCCAGCGCGCTCCCCGGCTGCTCACCTCTGCGAGCCATGAGTTATTTATGTGACCGTGGCCAGGGGACGCCTCTGACCAGGCGGCAGGACATCTGAGCACAAGAACTGGATCTTATTCAGCGCCACGTCCCGGGACCAGAGCCAGTGGTGGGCACCCACTGGTCTTTGTTGTCTTGTTTTATTTTTCTGACTCGATCCTCTAAAGCACTGGTGGCTTGAGCCTGCTCCCAGCATGGTGGCCTCGGGGCGGTGACGTGTCCCAGAGCAGCCCTGGGCTGTGTTCGAGAGTGCTCTGGGGATCAGGGCTCCTGTGATGTCCCCTCGGGCTCAGGGTTTGGAAATCACCGAGGGTCACTTCTGCCCTCTTCTCTCTATAAACAATCACAGGCAAAGAAGGAATGCAGGGGGAAAAAAAAGGGCCTGTCACCCTTTGTCCCCAATGAGCATCTTACATGCCTCAGCCCGGGTCCCAGAATACCGTCCGGCAGATGGAGGGATGGACAAAGTGACGTCACCGAGCACCTCCTGGGCAGCCAGCCACGAGCTGCACTCTGACGTCACCCAAGAGCCCTACAGGATCCCAACGTGGTCACACCCATTTTCAGCTGGGGACACAGAGGCTCAGGGAGGCGAGGTCAGTGCCCCCAGAGGACGCGGCCAGTGTTGTTGTTTATTTTTGTTGTTAGCGGTGGCCTTGGCTGCAGCCGGGGTCCACCAGGCTCCTCCTGCCCCCCTCGCCTCCCTCTCTCCAGGTCCCCAGGCCGCTCCCTCTGCTGGTGACCGTTCTCCATGCGACGCTTCTCCCAAGGCCACCCACACACCAGGGGCCACCTGACACATACCGTTCCCAGTCATCGCCCCGCTCAATGCCCGGCATGCAGGGAGCACTTAATAAGCGCACGCTTAATATTACTGGCACCCTAGTGTATTTGTTGGGCACTTACGATGT